TGCTTGTATATACACTTACTTGCTTTTGCATACATGTACATAACATCATAACATCATACCATAGCATTTTCACTAGCCATTTCAAGGATCTCGAGGGTTCTTTTGATGCAGGATTACGTTGAACCAGACGTCCACCAAGAGGCAAGAGGTTTCTCCTCTAAACAAATGCCATCAAAGATCAAGTGAAACAACTTGAATCAGGGGCTATGACCCACTTGACATGGTGAGCTTGATTCTCGTGGAAAGACATCCACCGATATAAAGATCTCCAATCAAAGCTCAAAGTTCAACCTCTAACATTCTCTTGTGTTTACCCCAAGAGATCCTTGAAAACATTGCATATATATCATACATATATATCATTGACTTCCTTTATGGTTTCATTCTGAAGTTCAGAAGTTTGATTCACTTCATCAGCTGAACTCATGAAGGATCATTTTGCTGAAGAAGGCCTATAAGTAGGCTCTCCCTCACTATTAAATAGAGTGGCAGATCCTTCGACAGGAGTAGGGACTTGATTGGAGGTGCCAACGGTATCCTAAAGATTAAAAGAAGTTCTGTTTTTCAGAATTTTCATAGAGAAAAGGATTAGTTCAAGAAGTAAGTGATTGTCTGTTGAAGCAAATACCTGAATTGGAACTTCAGCACCAGGACTGGAATTATCACTCTCACTGGGATTGTTTAGCCTGGCAGCTACTTCTTGTTCAGTAGGCTCTTTGATAACTACAGGAGGAGGCCTTGTAGCTGTGATCTTAATTCTTGTTTTAGGGCGAGGCTCAACCGCAGGGGCTGGTTTCTTTAACCTTTGTCTCTCCAGAGGAACAGGAGGAGACTCCTCTTCTTCATCACTAGAGATTTCGATCTCCTGGACCTTCCGTTTTTTGGGGGTAGTTTTCTGAATACCCAGAAAGATAAGTCGAAGAAATCAGTATCCATATCAGATGATCGTAAAGAATAAGGGTATAGAAGAAAGTAAATACCTTGGGATAAGGGTTAACAGAAGGGTCTCCCCCTTTAGTGCTTTCAGCAGCCTTCTTCGAAGTGGTCCTCTTGACAGCTATACGAAAAACGAAGATTAGTCGAGCGTCGAATGACTAAATCTGAGACAAAGAGAAAAAGAAAAGAAGTAATAAGAAGTAATACCTTTCTTGATCCTGTCAAGGACCAGTTTAAATGCCTCACAAAGGTGGTGGACGAAGTCCTTCTCATCGAAGAACTCCTCATCATAATACTGCCTCCACCACCCTTCAAAATTGACAGAACACAAAAAATTGAGGTTAAAGTCGAACATGGTTAGTACGGTTCGACCAACGTACCTACCAATATGCTTGGTAGAGGCATCCTCTGAGTAGTCTGCGTTGTAAAATAACAGCAGTTTCTCTCGAGGATAAATGGGTGGTGGGAGTGACTGGACAATGCCAAATTGTCGAGAGACAAGATTTGGTTGATAAGCAATTAAGCTTAATTGATTCTTTGAGCTCTTGAATCTCAGTGGCATGATTCTGGGGCGAAGAAACGACTCACACATGCCCACGTATTCATCTTCTAAGTCTTCCTCCTCAGTCGAAGGAAATGGTCTAGTAAACCATTCTGGGATGACTTTTCGACTGGCAAAAGGAGCCATGGTCGAAACAAAATGTTTGTGCTCCGCAAACATCATCACAAAGCTTGTGAAGGCCTTTTGAAACTGTTGGCCTTCATCAGTAGGAGTCAGCAAAGCAAGTCTGGTACCTTCGACCCTCCTATTCAGGATTTCTGGGGCCGCTTCATTGATCTTATTCTTCTGGGGAAGAAAAGATTCGAAGGTGGCATTGGGCCAAAGTTGAAGAAGCCGGAAAGGGCCAGAAAGCAGCAAGCTTGCCCTATCTCCTATGACCTTGAGTTGAGTCACACCATTGCTGATGGACTCATATAGATTGACCAAAATCAATTCGGCCAGACAGAGGGGGTAGCCATGATGAAGCTGCGCCGCGAGCGTGAGCATTTTCTTAGTCACCTAAAGCGACTTGGTGCATAAGACGAAACGGAATAACCACATAGCCAGAAAAGCTATATGTTCCATATCCGAAATAGTATTGGAGGATTTATCATGGAAGTGGTTGATGAAAGTGGTGTAAGTGGGTTTTGTAGCTGAAAACCCAATAACATCTTCAGATAGGTCCTCAGGATCGAAATAATCGCCAGTCGGTCGAAGACCGGTAATTGCTGCTATGTCGAAGAGGGTTGGGGTCACCATCCCACAGGGAAGATGAAATGTGAAGTGTGCGATATCTCAGAAATATAGCGAAGATACCAACATAAGAGGACAATAAGACAATCCTGTCTTCAACAGCATCACCAAATCGTAAATCCCCATTTCCTTCCAGACAGAAGTTTGTTCCTTCTCCACCTTATTTAACCAATCTGAATACTCTGAAGAGAGATTAGGGCATAATCGAAAGATCCTGGTCCCTTTGTTCATAAATTGAAGGTTAATGTCCTCCGTGGTCTGAGTATGTTGCTGGTTGGCCGGAGTCACATCCTCAGGATCGTCCCTGGGCTTTTTCGCGCAACCTATAGGTTTGAGTCTTGGATGAGTGGGGAAGAAGGCACGGTTCTTCATAGGATTCTCGATGCATATGGACAGAGGACCAGACATAGCGTATATGTATTCAGAGTACCTAATAGGAATGAGAAGCTGGGAATCATACGCCTCTCGCCTTTCACTAGTCGTGGGTTCAGAAACGAACCGTGGCCCATCAGTCGAAGCAGGAGAAGGGCTGGTAGGAAAGATCTCTGGTTGGCTTTGGATATCAGCAGCATTTTTAGGTTTGGGGTTGTTTGGTGCATTAGAAAGGAAAGCCATTTTTGTAGATTAGAAAGAGGTGAAGATGACAATGCAAGGTGTTTTATGCAGAAGACTTGGAAATACTTAGTGTTGTGAAAGTTCTAAATGAAGAGGCTCGAGAGTATTTATAGTCTTTAGAGAGGGAGGTGTCTCGTCAAAGCCATTTAATGCTATGAAGATAGTGCGGCACGTGGCAGACCATGGAGCGGTTATCGTGCAGATGATGGGAAACGTTTTGACATGCTTGCCTAGGTTCTAGGAATAATGGCCATCATGGCAGCGTGGTAACGGCAGTTGGAAAAAAGAGTAATGATGGGTTTTCGAAAGCGGCAGCTGTTGGAAGAAGAAAAGCGCACGTCAGGCCTTTGTGGACAGCAAGAGAGACAGGTGTCGAATGGAAAGATCAAAGAATGGCTATTTCTTTTGGCGTCGAAATAGACATTCTTGGGGGAAATTTGTTGGCTCCTGAATTCGACACCTACTATATTTGGTCTTTTAGACCAAAAAATAGAATAAATAAAACCAAGCTGAAGAATGTTTTGACGTGTGAAATAACTTAGAGAAAATATCTAAGTTACATTTTAGTCTTCAACCAGGACTCAATATCAAGATTTCGAATGAGAAGGTCTTATGAACTTCGACTAGAAGAGAATATCCTCGCGTCGATACCAAAGGCGAGGGACATTTGAATTTGAATTATTGGAGGGAAAGACGGTTTCGCCAGTAGCCAAAGGAAAGAAACGTGGCTGGAAGCTAGAGGTCGAGGGACATGCAGAGGACACTTAAATCATCTGAAATAATTATCACATGCTAAATCTATAGGTGGTACCCCCTTTGACTTTTTCTTATTTTTTCTATTTTAATATTGTTCAATTTAGTGTACTCTTGTATCCTTTCAGTAAATTGGTCTGGTCAAGTCTCGGGAAACGTATTGAACAATTTAATGGAATCAGGATAAGTCCAATATATATCTCTTATGGTTACTCCATTCTCACATCTTTGATGCTTAGAAACGTAATTGTTATCATCTAGAAGTTTCAAGTGGTGTTGCATTCCAGTTTGATCACCCTAAGCACTAATTTAAATTGATAGCGCCTATTGTTTACTTGCTTGATATTTGAGATATTCTCGGGTCTTTTACGCTTCAAGGTTGCAAGTATGTTTTTGGAAGGTATCAAATTCAATGTCATGTCGGAAACACATTCATTCTCTTCCGACAAGAGTCGACATGCAATTGGATAACCACACAACTTAAATGGACATTCATATTTTGTTGAACTGGTATCATCTCGTTTCAAATTCCTGAGAGGACGTCTATATTTCTCACTTCTTTCGCATGTCAACGTCACAAATGCACATCTTTTATCCGAACCATTATCAAACCTTCCAATCACAACCCCAAACCCTAGTTTGGTGGCCTATGTATAAATCTATTACAACATGTCATCACGAAATTCATACTCTTGTTCATTTTTAAAATGATTATGAATATCTACCGCCTTAACTAAGAGAGGTAAAACAACTTGAGACACAATAAGTTTGGGAATAACATCAGGATGCACGATACCTAATGTAAAAAATAAATATTTTAACTAAGAAACATCCATAGCAAGGAAGAAATTGTTGGAAAATAAGCACAGACAAATACCGATCCAATTCATTGTGAAATCGAAAGTACATTATCGTGACCTTTTTTCTATGAAAAACTAGATTAATGCAATGAATGAGGGTTGAAATGAATGAACTTTATTTTAAATTCTACTCCTTGTAGCTCCTTTTGATATGATGAACCACGAGAATGAAGATTTAGAGTGAAAAACTTGATTGAAAATGAAAGGATTTTTGGAGAGAGTTTATGGAAACTTTTGTAAATGAAAATGGAAATTTTTTTATTTTTTTGGAAATAGACTTCTGATAATATCTGAAATGCAAAGGTAGTATAATTTCCAATTTCCCGCACTAATTAACCAAATATAACTATCTGGATATAATTGGAGCTATATCTTCGGTGTGGTTTTTAATTTTAGAATGGGGTGGCACCACATTTGGTGTCGCGTGTGTGACGCGAAGGGTGCGTCTGAAAATAGACTTCCGATAATTCAGGGACAGTTTAGAGTTTTCATAGAGTTCTTTTCACCTATATAGGGTGGCATAAGAAATTCCTAAAAAACATATGGCTTCAATCTCAAACACCACAAGTTCTGTTAAACCAACAAAACCCATAAAAATAACCCTTGATTTTCATTTTCTTACTAAACCAAGTTTGTTGCAATATTATTATAGACCCTTGAGGATAGTTAGTTCCAATATTTTTCTTCATTTTTTAAACTAGTTTGTGTGCGAAAATGAACAATGACAATATGATATTAATGACAAAGACAGACTATTCTTCATGATGTTTATGAGAAACAAAGACAGAGTCCTTACTACGATAATCTCTGTCGACCCGTTTCAGATTTAGTTTCATTCATCGCCTCTGGAATCAGAGGTGTTACTACCAACCCCGCGGTATTCTTCTCATTTTTTTCTTCACCTATATTTACTCTCATGAAAACATCATGATTTCGCTTTTTGTTTTCTCTCCTACCAACCCTGCACTATGATAATGTTTTCATGTTCATATATTTGAAAAAGCTATATCATCATCAAATGCTTACAATCAGCATCTGAGGTCTTTTCTTTTTCTTTTGGTTAAGCAGGGAATTGGTAGAGGCAGGAAAAGACATAGAATGTGTTTACTGGGAATTGGTTGTGAAAGACATACATGATACTTGCAAACTCTTGGAATCAATTTACATTGAATCAGAGGGTGTAGATGGCTATGTATCTGTTGCAGTTTCTCCCAAGCTTGCAAATGATACCAAAGGGACAATTGAAGCAGCAAAATGGCTACATAAAATGGTTGCATGTCCAAATGTTTATATTAAAATTCCTGCAATTGATGAATCCATTTCTTCAATAAAGGAAGTTATTTCGCTTGGAATAAGTGTAAATGTGACTGTAAGTTTCTTTTTATAAAATTTCTTAAATATGAAGCACCAACACATACACAAATGGTGATATGTCAACACAGTCGGAAGTGTCAGTGCTACAATTATGTCGCAAAACTTGATCCTTGCAGGCTGCAGCAGTAATATTATGCTTATTGTTTGTGTATTTTGAACAGCTCATATTCTCTCTCCCTAGATATGAAGCAGTTATTAATGCTTACTTGGATGGTCTTGAGGCTTCTAGTATGAATGATTTGTCTAACGTTTCAAGTGCAGCTGCTTTCTACATCAGTAGAGTGGATGTTGCAATTGACAAGAAACTTGAGAAGATTAGTACTGCTGAGGCTCTTGATCTCACATGAAAGGTGTGAAACTTTTTTCCTTTTAATTGTTGTCACCTTTGGATCCGGATTGATTATAGTCGGTAATTAACGTAGTTCAAACACGTGATCAATTACATTAAATGAATATTATAAAGTTAATAAAACAAGTGGTCATTCTTTGGTGCATAAACAGATTTCAACCATACCACCAGACCCTGCTCTTAAAGCATTCTTGGACCATGGTATTCTTTCAAGAACCATTGATGCAAAAGTATCAGAGGCCGAAAGCATTTACAATGCAATTGAGACGCTGGGGATCGATTGGAGTTGTGTTGGATCACATCTTGAGAACGAGGTGCTGGATTCTTTCAAAAGAAGCTTTGAAAATGTGATTGAATGCTTGGGAAAGAAGGCTAGAATGCAAGTGGTAGATGCCTAGAAAAACTCAGTGCATACAAATAAGCCAATGCTTGATGCCTGTGGGATTTGATGATGTAAAGCTTGGTGTGTCGCTAAAATAATTTATTTTCTTTACCTGTCACAAATGATGCTGTGTTGAATAAAACCACCACTCACTCTAATTTGTTCTTTATGATATCAAGTATTTTGTATATTAAACAACATTAAAACGAGAGTTTGCAGAAAGTAAAAGAGAAGTGTTTTTTCTAGACACTTGTTTGAGGTGTTATATAAGTGTTAAAATGAGAGTCCGTATCCAACTCGTGTCATACATACAGACACGCCTAAACTAAAGAGTAGGACAAGAATAATAATATCAAATACCATGAATCCCAGCCATTATGAAGGGCAACATCACCTCGAGTGATCAAGAAAAGAGGGAGAATATGATCATCAAACTTAGAATTCCAGCCATTATGTGTGAACAATAACCAAACTTAGAATTCTTGTGCAGTTTCCAACAAGAGTCTGAGGGAAGATATTTAAAGACATGAATCATGCATGTTTGGATTATGCAAACCAACACCAAAGTTTCTATTGAGAAATGCATACCAAGTTACCACTTATCCACAAAATAAAGTGCATATAGCTAGATAGTTATATAGAGTTACCACTCACTGATTAATGTCTGACGAAAACCATGGGCATCACCACCCGCAGCTTCTAAATCTAATAAGGAGCTGCTCATTATGTTGTGTAACCGAGGTTCAGGCTCTGACTTACTAAAACAATAGACAGGAGCCTGCCAATGCTCATCCTCCAACACTGCACCAACCTCAAATGTCATCACATGAGAAACCATTCCTGCATTCACCAACCATCATACATATCAGGCTTGCAAATCATAAGCACACAATTAGTAATTAATTTTTTGTCCGCGAATCCTAATTCAACTAACAGAAGCTGATATAGTTAGGTTGGACGTCATCACCAGAGTTCGAACCCTATTTACTCACCATCGTGTCAATGAGTTTCCAAGGACTAAATAGTTACGCAGCATCAACACTTCATAATGAAATAGTGTTGCACATGTGTCTGACACTGAGATAATACTAACACGTGTAGTTTGTTTGATAGACACAAACATTAGTACTTAATTAACAAACTACTCCCTTGACATCTTCGAGTGAGGACATCCTCTAAAAGTAACAAACTATTCTCTTGATACATCAGTTATTAGTTATTCAATTTATCTAAAAAGTAAATTTTTTCTTATAAATAAGATAACAACTAACCAGAGGTTAAGAAGATCCACTTGACGGGTCTTCTAGTGAGAACATCCTCGTGGTACCAAATAAAATCAGCTTTCTCCCAAACATTACATAGAAAATTATCAGCATATTCTTGACCTAAATATTTGGCACCTTCAAGCCAGTTGGGTCGGAGAATTCCCACATCAAAATGAAGCTTTTTGCAAGTGCGGTTGAAAGGGTCTAGAGTATAGATAAAAGAGGTTCCATTGTTCCATTCAAGGTCGTATTTGAGAACACCTTGCTGATACTGGATGATGTTGAAGTTGCGTCCGTTGGGCCAATCGTACCATAGGTCAGTTTTTTGAAGAGTGCCGCTTCTGTTGATGAATAGGACTGAGTGGAACTGTTCCGGCCATGGTGCTGGAATTGGGGTATCTGTGGTTGAGGTTGAGAGATGAAGGAAGAGGAAGAGGAAGAGGCACAAGGAGAAACAAATGCGTTGGTCTGTGGAAGAGGCCATGGGGAATTTCTGAAAGAGGAATGTACAGTATGTATGAATCACGTGAATAAGATATATACACGTGAACTGCGTCCAATATTTAATGTTTACGGTATATTCAACATTTTTTTTACTTTTTATATTTTACACTATCTTTTCTTTATTCTAACTAATAATTTAAAATTTATATAACTTTTATTCATTACAATAATTTTGTTTAATAAATTTCGACACTATTTCTCATTATTTTTATTTTTTATTTTTATTTTTATTTTCTTTTATATTTTTATTTTTATAATTTTATATTTAATATCAATTATCGATTGAAATAAAATTAAAATAATTAAGAGTTAAATATTTTTTTCTAATTTAATAATTTCTTTGAACTTTTTAAATTTTAAAATTTTAATTTATTTGATTTTTTAAAATTTATAAGGATAGTTATTATTAAAACAAATAAAAGTGAATAAAATAATAATTTATTAGAGGTTAAATAGAAAAAAAATAAGAGAAAAGATAATTTTTTTTTTGTTAAAATCAAATAAATCAAATCTTTATTTATAAAAAAAATGATGAATTTTAGTGAAAATAAAAATAAATAAAAAATTAATTTATTATAAAATAATTGATTCTGAATGATTAAAGTGGATTAAAAATTTAAAAAAACACAACAACAAATAAGATTTTACAAAGTATTATATATGATTTCACTTCTTCATCATTTAATATGTAGAATGTTTTCAACCGATATTAATTCACATCACTTTCAATCATTTGTTCAATACTTCATTACAATTATTCAACTATTAAATAATTTTTTCAATACCTATATTTCATATAGTCTTTCACGCCAATAAAAATAAAAGTTGATGTATTATTTTAGTTTTGAAAAAAAAAAAGAATATTCCTCAACAAACTACATTATCAATCAATTAATATCGATTATGTTACAGAGGCATGTTTATATTTTAAAATTATGTTAATAATATGATAGATTGATGAATTTTTATAAAATAACGGTATAAAATTATTCTATAAAAAAATAACATTGGCAAATCAATAAATTTAAAAAACAATTAATCAACCGATGAAGTCATATTCTAACGTTTCTATTTTTTAATATTTAATAATAAAATAATATATTAATAAAAAAAGTAAAAGGATACAAATAATCTTTAATCCCTAAACACAAAACATGTTTAGAATATTGTTAAGTAGGGATGGACACCGATTGGACCGGTTCAGATTTTGGGCCCAAAACTCAAATTCGGATTCAATTTCGTCTGATTCAAAGTTCGGTGTTGTCGGTTCACGGATTCACAGTTTAACGGTTTGACGATTCGGTCTGGACGATTTTAATATTAATTAAAATATCAAAAAAAAACTTTTAAAATATTAATTAAAATCATAAAAATAAACATTCAAAATTTTATTATTGGATGAAATTTCTTATTTTTGAATACAAGATACAAACTTCTATAATATATACATTGAAAATTGAAAAAAACATGAACCATAAAATTATAAGAGAAGATTTTTTATTCTTTCCAAGTTGTTCAACCATCCATCTTTTCAATAAGACCAACATCAAGTGTAATACAGTGAGAGAACTGACTTGTTTTTACGTTTTATTATAAATATTGTGGATAGCAAGAGTCGTCACCGACTTTTCTTTTATCCAATAAGGAATAGGTGAAAATAACATGAAAGACCTTTAAGAATTTTCTGAGTTCGGGGGTAAGTTATAAAAGGGAAAGTGTTAGCACCTTTTTCATCTGTATTATCTACGGGCTCTTAATCGATAGCTCACTTTGTTTGAAATGTTTTTGTGTGTAAGTGTATTTGAAAATATTTTGAAAAATATCTAAGTACGACAATCTTTGTAATGGTTCTTGTATAAGTTAAGAACGCGTACAAAGTGATTGTGTTGGGCTTATTTTTATGGTTAGAAGTAGTAATATGGGGGTATATTGTTAAGCTCAATAGAATAATAATATTATTAGATTAAGTTAAATAGAAATTAGGTTAATTAAAAGGTGAAGAAGAGTCTTAGAGTAGTACGTGAGAAGTTACAGAGAAGAGGAATAGGAAAAGAGACAAAGCTAGGTCAATCGTAGAGTTACAGAGCAACCTTCAATTTAAGGTAAGAGTGGGGTTCTAACTCTATAAGGGATTGTATGATGGTGGGTTATGGTAGAGTTAGGTTATGTAATTATATAATCTCTTTGTGTGAATTTGATGTGTATGGGGTTTGTATGTGTGATGATTGATGATGATGAATTGGTGTAGATTGTTGATTTAATCCGTTGAAATTGACTATAATCGATTATTTGATGTTTTGAATTGTGTGATAATTGATGTATGTTGATAGCAATGATAATTGAATGTTTGATTGTTTGTTATTTCATGAAGTTTGTGTTTTTGGAATTGAGAAAAAAGAGTTTTCGTACTGCATTTTACAAAATTCGTAAGACTCTTTGACAACATTTTTGAAAACTTGAAAACTCTATAACTTTTGACTCGGGTGTCCGTTTGACGCACCGTTCAAACTTATGAAAAGTTAAAAATATTTTCTACAATATGATAATAATTTTGATGGCAGTAGACTAATATTTTATTGGAAGAATTATGATGTGTGTGTATGTTGTATGTGTTGTAATACAAAATGTTGCGATTGAATGTATCAGTATTGTATAAACGATGTACGAAGGATTTTGCATGATGTATTAATAATAATAATGATGATGTAGTATTATAGTATAATAATTTGTAGAAGTTTTGTAATTAGAAATAAGCATTTAGATAATTAATTAACTAGAAATAGTCGTAATAGTTTGAATAATTACGCGGTTTATTTGTAGTAAATTTTGGTTGACTCGTTGTATTGTATTCTTTGTTGAAAATGTGAATTAGTAGGTGATGTTATTGCCTCTATTTATGGGCAAAATATTAAGTTGTAGGCTTATGGCCAATGTTGGTTTGTTGTTGCGTTGCTATAGAATTGTGTTGTTGCTATTCTGACATTCATATTGTGCCGCATACATAGCATATCAAGTTGGAGCTGATGCTCGGTAAGTTGGCCTGGATTGGCAAATTAAGTTGAATGCTTATGCCTTGTTGACGCCTCTATTAATTGGCAGATTTCTAAGTTGAGAGTTTTACTCTGATGGTACCGCATGCATGTGCATCGTATAAGTCACATTCCATGTTGCATAATTATGTTGTTGTATAGCTGACTTATGATGATTGATGTTGGCTGAAAATTGTGAAGTGGTGATTTTATATAATCTGATCTAATATATTGTTTACCATACACTCAATTATATAGTTTGATATCTCACCCCTTCTGTTTGAATGTTGCTCTCTGTTGATAACGTGCGGATAATCAAGAAGGATAATTGCTACTTTTGTTAGTTCGAGTCGGTGTTGTCGCTCTGATACGTAGCATTCGGGGGATGAACGCGTGTTTTCTTTATTGTTAGTTTTCATTATGTTGCTGAATTTTTAAGTAGTTTTCATTAAATATTTGTTGTCTTAAAGCCGTTTTGAGTTGGACAAGTTGTTATGATATTTTCAGTTGAATTTGTGAATCCGCTGCGTAGCAACGAAAGTTGTTTTATTTTTAAAGACTAAACAGGTTGTTATCGGTTCATCTAAATTTTATGTGTTATGTATCTGAACTATAAGTAATTGAATATCGTTGTTTTCAAGTTGAAAGTGTATCATTCCATTTGTTTGTTAGAAATTTTGTAACTCTGATTTAATATAATTTGTTGGGTAAAAATGAGGTGTTACACTTTTCAAGGTTGTAATGTGGCTTGGTTAATAAACAAGGGATAAATCCTAAATCTAATAGAAACAAAAAATTGCTTTAACTTAAGGGAGTAATCAACTCACAAAGACTCAAGCAAAATAATTTCAATCAAACTTCTTCTTCATTCCAAATTTCAAACCAACACACATCACTTATTATCACATTATTCAAACTCTTTTTGTTTTCTTTTTTTTTCAAAGCTTTTTCAATTTTTTTTCTTTCTTTTTCTTTTCACTTCTTTTTCACATTTTTTTTTCTCACAATTTTTTTTTCTTTTCTTTTTCACAACCTCATAGCAATCACAACATAAGCACATAAACATTTCTCTCTCCAACTTGAATTCAACCATATCATAATATAAATACTCTCTACTTTCTAAGGCAAGACAAAAATTTAAACTACAAATCATAGTTAAGGGTTCAAAAAAATAAAGAATCAATGTCCATTCAAAAAAATGAACCAAACACTCATAGACAAACATTTAGCAAAAACAACATGTACATCGACAAAAAGCTCAAAGGGGTTAACAAAAGTTCACACATTCACAAGGTGAATAGACTATTTGACAAAGTAGTTATGCTCAAAATCAAACAAAATACCTTGATCATTTTCATGCTTTCATACAATCAATACAAACAAAAAATTAAACATAATAAAATCCAGTTAAAACAAGAATTGTGGCCTCCAGCATACGTGAACAATGGAAATGTTCCTCACATTTATGGGTAAAAGGGAAACTAAAGTGATTCAATCAAAAACAAGTAATGCAAAAAGAATGAATGATATGGTAATTATACAAATGATAAATTTCCTAAACATGTTATTGCTATAGAAAGTGATAAACGAGTATCTAGCGAGTACCAACTTCAAAAACTATCATTACCATACATTCGCAAGTTGACACACTCAAAATTAGAAAATCACCAAAAGCGACCTCAAGCCATCGAACCAAAATTTGAGTCCAAACAACAAAAGATAGAATTAAAAATATTACTATTAATTACTATACTATAAAACCTTGGGTGAAATAGGAAAAAAAAGAGTCAAGCGAAAAATTTAAAAGAATTCACTTGCTCTGTACAGCAGGGCGCGATAAGTGGCACATAGAGCTCTAAGCGCGCTACACCAGTTGCAAAAAAACAAGGCAACTGGTGCAGCTGCTTTGCAATCTCCACTTACACCTACACAACCTCAAACATATAATATT